TATTTCATCATATCCTGCACTTTTGTTAGTATTTATAGTTTTTCAATCTCAGTTATTATTTCATATTCAGTAATAGGTACAGCGAACATACTTTCTGGATAATTACCTTTGAGATAATTTTCGAATGTTATTGTGTCATTTTTTTAAATACTCTTTGCCAAATTTGGTCAAACATTTACAAAATATTCATTAAATTTGTTTGCGATTACAACTGGGTCAGAAAAACTAACATCTGAATTCTTGTGTTGAAGCGTGTCCGGCAATCTTTCTTTGTTTTTATTTCGATTTAATATTCGATTTATAGTTTGCCATGTCATTTTGTTATTGTTTTTGAATTATTTTTGTATTGTTTTTATTTTTGTATATGAATATCAGCGTTTATATAATAGCTAGACTATGGTAAATCCTTGTGAGGACAGTGCTTGGGTATGAATAATGAACATGAATATTAAATATTTAACAAAATTAAAGCTAAACAGTCGATTCTGCCAAAAGATCAAATCGAAGAAAGAGCGTTGAATTGCTGCCAAGGTCCAGATCATGGTCAAGATAGTGCGAATTTCAGGTTGGTAGATTTGTTTGAACGTTTGAAGCGGTCCCAAGAATATTGTTTACATTCTTAAAATACATATCTCTTCTTGTCTGTGTTTTAACTGTACAACATAGGAATGATCATCACTTCTAGTCTTCAATATTCAGTGGTCATATGAAGTGTTTTGACTGAGGCAATAGTTCACACAACACATTGTCTACATATACAATAAAAGTATATGGCCCCTGTACATAAGCCCCCATCAAAAAATCTTTACGAACAAATATAAGCCCAGGGTATATGTTCGCAGTATGCCATCATATATCTGATTCTCTTGTGTTCTTTGATTGCCAGCAAAAACTGTAAATATCATTTTAATGGTGTCTGTTCTTATAGTTTTTTCCATTCTCTTAGATCGATGTAAACTAAGTGATATATCACTTTTGCATGCTGTAGTACATCAAACACAAAAGAACCGGGTTTAACCATAGAGGGTTCAGACCACCTGATAAAGGAGATTGACAGTAGCACAGCTGTACAAGAAGGTATATAATCGGTACCATGTAATGTTTTGTGAAGATAAACTCTTTTGATGTATTACATCGCTGCTGTGGGATTGGTTTATCTGCAGTGGTCTGCATGTTACTGGGTCCAAATACATTGTCGTGGGAAAATTGCCTAAAGCAATATAGTTATAGGGCATAAAAAAACTCTTAAAACTGAATTTAGTTGTTACTACTGTATACCATACTCTCTAATGAAGTGATTTTAGTCAATATAGATATATACATATGTTGTTGTTGTATATGTATAATTAATATAGCTAGCTACAGTATACTGTAAACAGGGCTGCCTGGTGAATTTGCGGGGCCCGAGGCAAACCTTCCCTGGGGGCCCCATGACATTATTATTTTTAAGCTAGACCCAACTAAACCTTAGCTAGACTTCATGTGGAGGTACTGTAAGTGGCCCTCAATTTCAAAAATGCTCTTTATAGCTAGAACCTACTCAATTTTAGGCTCTTACTCCAAGTTGGGGCCCTATTAAGTTGGGGGCGCAGGGCAATTTGCCCTCCCCCCCTCTTGGCGGCCCTGACTGTACATGTTATTATTTTGATTATTAAGCTAAATAGAATATGCAACCTTATCGTAGAATGTGTTATATTTTTAGTGTATACCATATTGCTAACCCATTGAGCTGAATTGTGGCCTACTTTGTTGTTTTACTATCAATATTTAAAACATGGCTTGTTTTGGCAAGACATGGCATCCTTTTGGTTTTTCACATATTGAATTTGACAGAATGTCATTTCTGCGATATATCGAAGCAATGCCATTTCTTTGATGTATCGAAACCATGGAGAGTTTAGAGTTTTCGACATATTGAAAAATGGCAATCTTTTGATATATCGACGAAATGGCATTGTTTCAATATATAGAAGCCATGGATAGTTTAGATTTCGGTTATCGAGGAAATTGCAATCTTTCGATATATTGAGAAAATTGCAATCTTTCGATATGTCGAAGAAATGGCATTCTTTCGATATATCGTGTGTATACCATATTGCTAACCCATTGAGCTAAATTGTGGGCTACTTTGTTGTTTTGCTATCAATATTTAAAACATGGCATGTTTTGGCAAGACATGGCATCCTTTTGGTTTTTCACATATTGAATTTGACAGAATGTCATTTCTGCGATATATCGAAGCAATGCCATTTCTTTGATGTATCGAAACCATGAATATAGTTTAGAGTTTTCGAGATATTGAAAAAATGGCAATCTTTTGACATATCGAAGAAATGGCATTCTTTCAATATACAGAAGCCATGGATAGTTTAGATTTCGATATATCGAGGAAATTGGAATCTTTCGATATATTGAGGAAATTGCAATCTTTCGATATGTCGAAGAAATAGCATTCTTTCGATATATCGAATATATGGCATTCTTTCGATATATCAAAGAAATGGCATTCTTTCGATATATCGAAGAAATGGCATTCTTTTAATATATTGAAGAAATGGCATTCTTTCGATATATCGAAGAAATGGCATTCTTTCGATATATCGAGGAAATTGCAATCTTTCAATATATCGAAGAAATGGCATTCTTTCGATACCGGTATATCGAAGCATTGGATAGTTTAGAGTTTTCGAAATATCGAATGTGGAAGGTGCCATGTTCTTGATATATAATTTTCACTGACTGTGGCTGCCTCCAGACATGTTTTGGAACTACCGGGTGGCGCAAAAAAAAGTTAACCTGTTTGATTTGTTTTAACTTAAAAGCTAAAAGAGCTATTACATGTAAACTACGTGCATTGTATTTAGTATTGTCTAACGTAACGTGCAATACTGACCGAGAGAGCTGCGTTTAAACTTGAGTAAACATTTTTGAAAGTGTCGAGAATTAGCTAAAAACGGCCTATCAAATATTTAATACAGCAATAACCTGTGCTTAGACGCACTTTTATCGGAAAGTACACGTTCGTTGTCAGAGACCTGCCCAACGCCGCCGGTATAACCTCACGAGCATTATTTAACCTTACATATTCTAAACATATCAAAACTATTTGGTCCTTCGTTAAACGAGGCGTATTTATAAAAAAAACACTTGACGTTTCTTTCTTGGAACATTAGAATTTGATTCTCCAGGGTCATTGGATATTCAGAATAAATATTTTAATCAAAATCGCTTCATAAATTAATTTTCATGCATTCCCAAAGACCTTAAACAAAAATAAAAGAGCACCTCCATCCTATAAACATTTTTTAATTTAAACTTCACTTCATTGACACGAATATTTACGATAAAATGGTAAGGGTTATCAAATTAGTTTAACAAGCCGTTTTTAGCTAATTCTCGACACTTCCCAAAATGTTTATTCAAGTTTAAACGAAGCTCTCTCAGTGAATATTGTACGAAATTGCACAGGGCGTATATCAAAATTTAAGTTGGACAATACTGAATGCAATGCACGTAGTTTAGGTGTAATAGCTCTTTTAGTTTTTAAGTTAAAATAAATCAAACAGGTTAATTTTTTTTGCGCGACCCGGTATAACATTTTCCTCTTTTTTCCCTTTTATTCACATGCCTTTTATTCACTTTGCTAAAGACAATAAATTTTGCCCAAATTTTTTAGCAGTTTTTTCCTCTTAGAGATTTAGTATCATTTTAGTTATGTTTTGTGTGATGTTACTCTGCGTGTGTATCCACAACGGGCAGGCTTGAAAAATGTGCCTGGCCACGGCGGGATTCGAACCTACGACCTTTGGAATACTAGCCCAATGCTCTTCCAACTGAGCTACGCGGTCAGGACGGTTCGAGTATGCGATATTTCGGAACTGAGTCTAGTTCCTTCGATAACAGTGTAATCTAATAATCATGAAATCTGCTGTGTTGGTGTAATGTACTCAGGTGAATAAGATGTTTGTGTGATGTTACTCTGAGTGTGTATCCACACCGGGCAGGCTTGAAAAATATGCCTGGCCACGGCGGGATTCGAACCTACGACCTTTGGAATACTAGCCCAATGCTCTTCCTACTGAGCTACGCGGTCAGGACGGTTCGAGTAAGCGATATTTCGGAACTGAGTCTAGTTCCTTCGATATCAGTGTAATCTAATATTTATGAAATCTGCTGTGTTGGTGCAATGTACTCAGGTGAATAAGATGTTTGTGTGATGTTACTCTGAGTGTATATCCACACCGGGCAGGCTTGAAAAATATGCCTGGCCACGGCGGGATTCGAACCTACGACCTTTGGAATACTAGCCCAATGCTCTTCCAACTGAGCTACGCGGTCAGGACGGTTCGAGTATGCGATATTTCGGAACTGAGTCTAGTTCCTTCGATATCAGTGTAATCTAGTAATGATGAAATCTGCTGTGCTGGTGTAATGTACTCAGGTGAATAAGATGTTTGTGCGATGTTACTCTGAGTGTATATCCACACCGGGCAGGCCTGAAAAATATGCCTGGCCACGGCGGGATTCGAACCTACGACCTTTGGAATACTAGCCCAATGCTCTTCCAACTGAGCTACGCGGTCAGGACGGTTCGAGCATGAGATATTTCGGAACTGAGTCTAGTTCCTTCGATATCAGTGTAATCTAATAATCATGAAATCTGCTGTGTTGGTGTAATGTACTCAGGTGAATAAGATGTTTGTGCGATGTTACTCTGAGTATATATCCACACCGGGCAGGCTTGAAAAATATGCCTGGCCAAGGCGGGATTCGAACCTACGACCTTTAGAATACTAGCCCAATGCTCTTCCAACTGAGCTACGCGGTCAGGACTGTTCGAGTATGCGATATTTCGGAACTGAGTCTAGTTCCTTCGATATCAGTGTAATCTAATAATCATGAAATCTGCTGTGTTGGTGTAATGTACTCAGGTGAGTAAGATGTTTGTGTGATGTTACTCTGAGTGTATATCCACACCGGGCAGGCTTGAAAAATATGCCTGGCCACGGCTGGATTCGAACCTACGACCTTTGGAATACTAGCCCAATGCTCTTCCAACTGAGCTACGCGGTCAGGACGGTTCGAGTATGCGATATTTCGGAACTGAGTCTAGTTCCTTCGATATCAGTGTAATCTAATAATCATGAAATCTACTGTGTTGGTGTAATGTACTCAGGTGAATAAGATGTTTGTGTGATGTTACTCTGAGTGTATATCCACACCGGGCAGGCTTGAAAAATATGCCTGGCCACGGCGGGATTCGAACCTACGACCTTTGGAATACTAGCCCAATGCTCTTCCAACTGAGCTACGCGGTCAAGAGGGTTCGAGTATGCGATATTTCGGAACTGAGTCTAGTTCCTTCGATATCAGTGTAATCTAATAATCATGAAATCTGCTGTGTTGGTGTAATGTACTCAGGTGAATAAGATGTTTATGTGATGTTACTCTGAGTGTATATCCACACCGGGCAGGCTTGAAAAATATGCCTGGCCACGGCGGGATTCGAACCTACGACCTTTGGAATACTAGCCCAGTGCTCCTCCAACTGAGCTACGCGGTCAGGACGGTTCGAGTATGCGATATTTCGGAACTGAGTTTAGTTCCTTCGATATCAGTGTAATCTAATAATCATGAAATCTACTGTGTTGGTGTAATGTACTCAGGTGAATAAGATGTTTGGGTGATGTTACTCTGAGTGTATATCCACACCGGGCAGGCTTGAAAAATATGCCTGGCCACGGCGGGATTCGAACCTACGACCTTTGGAATACTAGCCCAATGCTCTGTCAACTGAGATACGCGGTCAGGACGGTTCGCGTATGCGATATTTCGGAACTGAGTCTAGTTCCTTCAATATCAGTGTAATCTAATAATCATGAAATCTACTGTGTTGGTGTAATGTACTCAGGTGAATAAGATGTTTGTGTGATGTTACTCTGAGTGTATGTCCACACCGGGCAAGCTTGAAAAATATGCCTGGCCACGGCAGGATTCGAACCTACGACCTTTGGAATACTAGCCCAATGCTCTTCCAACTGAGCTACGCGGTCAGGACGGTTCGAGTATATTAGAGTACATTACACCAACACAGCAGATTTCATGATTATTAGATTACACTGATATCGAAGGAACTAGACTCAGTTCCGAAATATCGCATACTCAAACCGTCCTGACCACGTAGCTCAGTTGGAAGAGCATTGGGCTAGTATTCCAAAGGTCGTAGGTTCGAATCCCGCCGTGGCCAGGCATATTTTTCAAGCCTGCCCGGTGTGGATATACACTCAGAGTAACATCACACAAACATCTTATTCACCTGAGTACATTACACCAACACAGCAGATTTCATAATTTTACAAGGAATTTCGCAGGGAAACAGCAACCTTCGTCCTTCGCAAATCGCAAGTTTATAAAAGCAAGTTTATACGTTTGACTGCGCTGCTTTATATATTGAGAAGAAAACGATACCGTTCGATTCAGCGTAAGAAATTGTACTTACGGATGTCATATGTATTACTAAACAACCGTATTCTAGCGATTTGTGGCCTTTGAAAATAAAGCGAAATTGTATTGTTGATCACATTAAATCACTCGCACTACGTTTATCCACAGCCACAGGTATGTCCACAGGCGGCCCAATCTCTGAACGTCCTATATATTTTGAATATTTAACCGTTATAATATTTTAAAATAACAAAATAATTCAAAAAATATTAACAATATATGTAAAAAATATATCTCACTTGTTAATAGAATCCATTTGTTGTGTTTCTGAGTTTAGTTGATGCGATTGCTTTACGTTTTCGTCGTACTTGAACGGTCGTCAGTACTATGGCCATACCTAATTTTAGTGTGCAGTGATAACCAATTTGTGCAGTGATAAAAGTAAAATGTGCAGTGATAAAATGTAAAATGTGCAGTGATAAAATTTGCTTTGATAAGTTGTTAATTAACACAAGAGAATGATTTAATTGAAATTGAAATGATGACTGCCAAATTATCGAATTAAATACGAATTAAATACCATTGCGGCAATTCCTACGACACACGACGAACTTTGTTTGTCAAAAGTACAAATTTCCATTTTCGACAGAACCGCTAACCCCATGGTCGTCGCCACGAGAGCTGCTCAGCAACCTGGCCTCCTCGTTTGAAAACATTCCATCAGGGGGGGAGGAGCTCGACTGGAATGAGGGGGCTTTCAAGGCAACACGATAAAACACACGATATAAATAGAAATTATTACTTTATCATGCTGTATTCGACAATAAACAAGTATTAAATATTTATATCGTGTGTTTTATCGTGTTGCCTTGAAAGCCCCCTCATTCCAGTCCAGCTCCTCCCCCCCTGATGGAATGTTTTCAAACGAGGAGGCCAGGTTGCTGAGCAGCTCTCGTGGCGACGATCATGGGGTTAGCGGTTCTGTCGAAAATGGACATTTGGACTTTTGACAAACAAAGTTCGTCGTGTGTCGCAGGAATTGCCGCAATGGTGAAGAAACCAAGTTCTTTCGAAAGAGGAACGTTCGTGCTATTAGGCGATGTGAAATTTATTGCTCTGCGACGATTCTGAGGCGAGATATTGGACTCGATGTCGGAGAGTATATCAGATAAGTGGCTAGCCTTGTAGTTATTTATGTCCTATACGGCCATGTCGTCCAGTGCCATAGTACTGACGACCGTTCAAGTACGACGGAAACGTAAAGCAATCGCATCAACTAGACTCAGAAACACAACAAATGGATTCTACTAACAAGTGAGATATATTTTTTACATATATTGTTAATATTTTTTTAATTATTTTGTTATTTTAAAACATTATAACGGTTAAATATTCAAAATATATAGGACGTTCAGAGATTGGGCCGCCTGTGGGTGGCTCCCTACAGTTTCGATTGTACAGCACACAATTAGCCTTTCTCATGCAGCCATTTTTGGGTGGAATTTCAGGCGAGGTCTGCGAGATAAGTCCACATAACAGCAAGTTTTTATAATTTTTTGGCAAATAATGGTAAATTTGCTTTGTAAATGGTTAGTTTATTTTGAAAAATTGCTTTTCACATTGTTTTAACAAAGTGAATAGATGACCGGCAGCCGGCTATCTAGTAAACTGCCGGCTATATAATAACTATAGTTACATATAAAAACATTTGTTTGCACTAGTTTTACCAAGCTTGCCGTTAGCGCATATGGCAAAGGCACTGTGTGCGGAAAGTGAAACCCAGCCGGGGTCGGTTTGTGTTTTTAACGTTCAACTTAGCATATTTTTTTCTTAAAATTTTTTCAACTTTTTCTCCGCCTTTTTATTAATTTTAACTCTCTAAAGGTTAGGTTAGGGTTAGAGGAGGGTTTGGGGTTAGGGAACGGTTTATCTTATAAAAATTTGACTTTAATTATGGTCACTATATAGCCGGCTGCCGGTCATCTAGTCACTTCGTTGTTTTAATTGTCTGCATTGGATAATGAAAATTTGATGCCACCCAAAAATGGTGGATATTCATCATCGTGAGGGAGGCTGATTGTATTCAATGAAAATGCTGAGTTTTTCAAAGCTAAAAGCAAGTTTTTTACCTCAATTATTATGTAAAACCAAATTCTTTGCAACTCCCTCTCCTGTCAGGGTCATGCAACAAGTCTGTGATTCACGATTGTAAGACTAAATCTATTTGACAACATTTTGCCATATTCTCAGTATCTGCCACAAATATATGGTATACAATGTGGTGAAATAGGTCTTTCTTTGAGAATTGATTTCAAATGCCACAGTAAACCTGTATTATATATAACCCACAGCATTCTGTGAGAATTCCTAAGGCCTTACCTTTGTTTTGATCTCACTTTAGAAACGATAAAATAGAGGATAAAATACATAGCTACATCGACTACGTAAGTGCTTCTTCTCCGACTTGAACGTACCACCATTTTGCCCAACATATAATTACGGGTCATCAACAGAACCAGAATAATATTGTAAAGCAATAAGGATATTTAATTATTTCGTAAGCAGAATGCGAACTAGTAAAAGGCGAAATATACCTGGGCGCTACTTTCTGCTTTCAAAAAGAAGGGACTGGGAGCAATGGTTGTAATCATAGATAATAAAATTCTTTTACAAAGGACTGGGGAAAAGACATCATATTTGTCGTTTTCGAAGACTGGGAGCAACCGGAAGATTGTGCGACGCTGTGATCAGAAAACTTGCACGAAGAAGTATTAATAAACAGTTGTACAAACTTACCAAGATTATTCGCGTTTAAAGCTTCCATGGTAGTCGAGTCTGATTCTGCTTGCACGGTAGTTGTCGCTGTTGTGACTAATGGCGCATCATTGGCCTCGCTCGAATCTGCCATATGTTCATTGTCCGCCATTATGTGTGAACTAAACTTTAAGATTTTGATATGAACGTAGTAGTTTTATAAAATTTTCTTAAAAGATTACACAATATTGCAAAATATAGCGTTCGCAGAGAAGAAATTCTCAATGAAAATACGTTTCATGAAGGAAGGCTTTGGACGAAGCGTATGCCAACGATCATTGCATCACGTGGCACGAGTCAGTTCATTGGTCGAAAGACAATAGATATTTACATATTTTAGAGGCTTTGTGAACGGCAATAATAGAACTTATTCAAAGTAAAAAAATATTCATGAATATTAGCTTTCTAAACCGTATAGGGTGGAACAGGGTCATACTGCCTATAAGGAGCACATTTTTTACTCTAAAAATCGTCATCGGAGGCCGTGCTTACAGCCTTTCACTACTTTGCATCGCGCAGGCGCAACGCTCCGGGGTGGGCACTTAAAACAAAAACTTAAAGAACTTAAAACAAAAAAGTGCACCTGTATGATGATCTACATGATAGAGATTGAAGATGGATGACTGCATAGGAATGATCGAATGAACCATCAATTAACATCATGGAATGAACGGACGAATCTAGCCGAAAAAACAAATGAGAATAGGGCATAGTGAATTGACAAATTGTCAAATAGAATTTGGATGATCAAACCGAACTTCGTCTTCGTTTTTCAAATTCCAATTTTTATTCTAACGAAAATATGAAATGGAATCCGAATACAGGAAACAAGAAAATCGAACCTACAACTGCCATCTTTACAGCAATAGCCAATAGGCCTTGGGCTTAGCGTTTTTCCACCGACATAATTATCTGTGCAACCACGTTACAACTCACAGGACGAAGAAATGTCAACCACTGGCACAACGAATTTGTAGTCCCAAATTTGTGAGGTTAACCGATACAAGGCTGAGAGTCTGCGACAGACAGGTTAATAGGCTCAATGGCTATGCTGCCATTTGTCTCACGAATACAAGTACAGCAGTTGCAACTTAACAACTTGAAAATCACTGACAGCCATAGGCATAGTTATTGGATTTAAAAATGTTAAATTAAACTTAAAAGCCTTGGTCAAACGAGGATGAGAGTTGATGTCTCGTTGGCAGTCGCATCACAGAGGGCCCTGAAGGGGTAAAATGGGAACTGGGATTGATCTATTTTTAGACTGGGAAAATGGGATTTGGGTTGCTGGGACTGGGATTTGGCCACTGGGAATGGGAAATGAAGTCCTCAAAAATGGGAATGGGATTGAGGTAATGCGAGTCGATTCCCAATTTTTCTGCGTTTTGAGTATTTTAAAATACAGTTTTGATCCGTTTTTGGTGTCTTTGGTCATGATTTTTGTTGTTAACTATATTATTCACAGCACTACCTGCGAACAGGCATACTCTGGCACCCGGAATTCTGGGTTTTCTGATTATGCGTGTCTCAGAATGCTGCAAATGCCATTTCCGGGATTCAAATTTAAAAATTTTCCGTGCCTTCGGCACGAGCCCCTCTAATATTTCATAAAGTGTCCGCCACATGCTTAAAAGGTCTTAAAACTGTTTATTCTACCGATAAATAAAGGGTTTTTTTATTGACTGGGATTTCAATAACTGGGACTGGGATTTCTAATAAAAATCCAATTGGGACTGGGATTTTGCCAAAATTTCAGGTGGGAAATGGGATTGGGACCCCCCCTTCAGGACCCTCATCACAAGATCGCATGACTGCCAACTCGTATCACTCTCATTCTCCGACTCCGTTGATCTGGGCTGAACAATTAATATTGCGAAATATGGACAAATAAACCAAACATGGGGAATGCTCAAAATATCGCGCTCATATACATGTATTTTACACTTTACAGCGTCCACAGTTATGCTTTTCTGTACAGGAAAGCATAATGAAGCATGTGAATAAATGTCGAGTTGCAACGTGTAACAGAGTTACAAGTTGCAACGTATAACACCTTTTCCTGCAACTTGTGTCGTGCAACGATTTTTTTCGCAACGCAATTGCAAGTTGCAGCAAGACAGAGCATCGGACAGAGCATCTGAAAGACACAGATTTGGTGTTTTATGTCATAGATGATTATGCCCCCCCCCCCCAGTTTTGACAGAATTACAAAATGAAAATTGGTCCTGTATACGAGTAATACGACGCATGGTTTTTAGGGTTTCCTTCTAGCTTCAGTTACGTAATTTCGAGCAATGAGAAATGACGTAAAGTACAATTATATATAAGTAATACTTGCCGAGAGACTGTGCGCAGTCTACTAACACACCTACACGCACAATAACAATCGGTTATACCCTAGAATAGACGAGTCTTGTCGCCAGGCCCATGCACGTTCACCAAATGCTTCAAGTAGCTGTGGAAAAGGATTACCACAAGACTCTGGTTGTTGGGGATTGCCTCGTTTTGCCCAACATTTTCACAAATTAAAAACACAAATTCACAAGTCCCGACATAAAGTTTAGATATATAAAATTCGCAGATTCACCGAGTTTCTCTTTAGTCAGGGGCGCCGAAAGCAACGTGCAGTGGCGGGGTCAGTCATTTAAAAAGAGGATTTCTGGGGCCGGTTGTATAAAAAACTGAGTTAACTATGATTAAGTGCAAACGTCATCTAATAAGAAGCGCCTATTTGAGAGTTAATCACTATTTAACTACAAAATAGTGATTAAAAAAGTGATTAAGAGTTTTATACAACCGGCCCCAGAGCCCTAATTTTGGGGCAGCGATGTTCGTTAAAATTATTTGTAGCCAATATAGTTGGACAAATTTCGGCAATGATTGGAACATTTTTATTCGCTGCATGACGCCAAAGATGCATGACGCTAAAGACTGATGCATTTAAGCCCATTTTCCGCTAGGCGAATTTGTTCGCGCGAACAGTAAAAAAGTAGGAACTGATCCAACGTTTTCGTGGCGAATGTTTTCGCTGACCAATCATATTGTCATTGCCGAGATTTGTTTTTCGCTTCGCGCGAACAAAATTTGTCTAGTGGAAAATGGGCTTTACTCCTTCAGTCACAATTTCACAAAGACCACTTCACTTAATATCCCAGTCACGCTCTCAAGAAAGCTAGTCCTCAACTCCTATGTTTTACATGCATGGTTTGTGAGCTGGCATACATTCGCACGTACGACTACAAGTTGGTACAAATTGTGTGTGCTTGACTGATGATGACTATTAAAATAAAGTCGAAACGTTGATTCAAAAATGTTGTCTTTATTCGGAGTTACCGTTGTTGTGTATTTTATGAAAATGCTCAGTGGTTCCCACAATTTCTGCTTGACTGACATAGCTATAATACAGAGGCTATAATACTTATAATACTCTAAATTTAATATTCGATATATAAAAGTTTGATCAAACCTAAAGTAAGAATCGTACACAAACGGCTATTTTTGGGCAGTCTCCAACATGGGGTAGCCCTGTTATCATTCGTATAGTCCTTTCGGTTGCAGCTTACAAACACAACCAGAGTCATTATTTGTGGTGGGTGGGGTGGGGGGTTCACACTTTTGTACTTTTACCGAATATATATAACAAGTATTCTGGAATAATCCAAAAATGATATTTTGATGCGACGGTGAATGCCTACTTATCTGTAAATCATGGCAAACTACTAAGGAAAGCTATAATACGAAATGATTTTAGCTGCAGGAATTAGCTTGGCACGAATGCCAATTAACATTCACCTGGCACGAGTTACATATCTTGATATCTAGAGGCTTTGTAACAGCTATACTGCTATGAGAAACACATTTTTGACTCAAAATTCCGTGCTTTGCATTGCGCAGGCGCAACACGCAATGCAATGGCTTTAAAATAAATTTAAATAGACATGGCTATTATGTCTATGCTTTAACAGGCTTTAACTTAAAGGATTAGTGTCACACCAGGAATTCGCGGGCTCAAACTCCTGCTGGCGGCCATTTTTCGGGACGAATAGATTAGATGATCTGGAAAGTTTTTACAATCCGTCATATATTTAAACCATCCTTTCATAATCCTTGCTTTTTTTGTCTGATTTGTATCAGAAATGTGCCAAACAAGATATTTTTATCGCTACTTGTTGTATTTGAGTAAGGGACGGACCATTAGAAAAGTGATGGGGGTGGGTGGGGCAAAACCAAAAAAAAAAATTATTCCCAGAAAAAAATTAAGAAAAAAAAAATCTTTCCAGGCATAGTGCAAAAAAAAAATTCCTTGCTTAGAAGATAGGCCAAGTGGTGTACTGGAGGGAGGGCTCAGGGGGGCTGAGCCCCCTTGTTGAAATTTCATGTTGACTTGGGGGGCTGCACGTTGGTCAAATTTAGCAAAATTTCTCCCACTCGTGCGGGTTCGTATTGACAGCGGACATCTTACAGAAAGTGGCCAGTTCTCTGAAAAATGCAAAAGTTTCAATTTTACACCGCAAGTCCACTGACAATATGAGCCTGCGGTCCTGGGAGAAAATTTGCTGAATATGACCAGCGTGCTGAGCCCCCCTATATTTTGGCACGTTGCATAATCTTAACAACGTCAAAAACACACACAAAAAATATCAGTAAACGAGAATGTTCTTTAGAATTGCATCTCGTTTTCACTCATCATTTAACACAATAATGATTTTTGTAATCTTTATATCGCCATTTTTGTAATCTTTATATCATTTAGTACCACTAAATTGTAAATTTCGACATACTAAAACGCTGTTTTCTGACCATCAGAATTCTGTCAAATCTTCCCCAAAGTCCAGGAAATGGCATTTCAGAGACTCTAAATTTAAAAATTTCCTCGGGCCTTCGGCCCTCGCTTCGGCTTGTTTTTAATAAGAATAACGTCAAATGTTTGTCCCAGAATTACTAGAATAAACCCCAACAAAATTTAGAATTTCCAAAATATCTTATTGTACCTCCCCTCCCCTCCCGCCAATTCAGGGCACTTTGGAGAGCCCCCCTTGTTAACATTCCAGGACTACACCACTAATAGGCCTATAAATTTCACTTAAAGGGGGCCCTACAGTCATTTTTTAGTCGAAAGCCACCTTAAGTAGGGGACTCCACGGAGATTCGTTTGGCTGTATCTTACATGCAGTATCCATGAGTATGAGTACTTTTGCACACCAGAAAACGCATGCATACTGTGGTGCGCATGTCAAGTAGCGACAATAACAAAAAAATGTAAACAATACTTACTTGACTAAAAAATTACTGTAGGGCCCCTTTAAAAAAAAATATTTCCAACCATCAAGTGAGAAAAAAAATATATTTCTTCTATAGGTGTACAAAAAAAAAAATATTGCCTCTTAGAAAATCCCCCCCCCCCATCACTTTTCTAATGGTCCGTCCCTAAAATGTAAACAATAACAAAAGCCCGCAATGCATGACCCCGACACTAATCCTTTAAAGGGAAATTAAAAGAGGGTGGTCACGCTCAAGCAGTTTTCGGTCACGCTACTCAGTTTTCAAGCCGAAGCGAAAACCCCGAGTATAGGTTTTCCCAAACGCACGAGTTAGAATTTCAACCACTGGCACAACCAGCTTGCAGTCTCAAATTTGAGAGGGTTGCGACAGGCAAGTTAGGCTCAGTGGTGAAGCTGTCATTTGTCTCCCGAATACAATTACAAGAGTTGCAACACGGCCTGTGGCAGTGCTGAAAATCACTGGCAGCCATGTAAAATATACAGAAATGAACCAAACATGGGGAATTTGTCTTCACTCTGGGAACTCAAAATTTCGCGATCATATATACATGTATTTTCAGTGTCCACAGTTATGCTTTTCTGTACAGGAAAGCCAGGGCGTACGTTTGACCTGCCTCTCTTCATATTTCGGATAATTTGTCGGCAAATACAATACCCCCCCCCCCCTGCTTAAGCCTCTTCGCGACGGCCCTGAGGAAATCATAATGAAGCATGATTTCATTAAAAGCTACGAGATGACAAGAGGCGTGTGGAAAATCTTATTTGACAATGCATTTGATACCAGTATTATAAATACTGTAACAGCAAGGCACTTTACGCAGGAAGTTTATTTCATTCTATTTACTTTTTACATCCAATTGTATCATGTACGAATTATTAAATAAAAGAAATCATACGAATTTCTAAACACACGAACCGACATCAGTCCCATTGTTCCTATCAAAATACCAAAACAGAAAAAGCCTAGTTTAAATATACTGCACTTCACTGGTCCAACCAATGACTAGCCACTTGTTCGTATATGTAGTTTTTCATGGTTCAGGACAGGGGCGCCGGAATAACAGGGCATTGTGGGCAGTTAGTTATTCCCATTGCCATTTAGTAGAAAAACCCGCAGGGCAAGCTTGTTCCCTTCTTATCAAGATGAATTGCACATCTAAAACGACTTTGATAAAACAAACCATACCACGAAACACGGTACAGTAAATACAATCATCGTGGTTCAATTGGCGACTACTTAATAGGTCTTTGGCAGGAATGCCATTACCACATTGATATTAGTGTGAATAAAGTTCCCTTCTCCTAAGAGCTGCCCTCACTGCCCTGAGCTTTATCCGGCGCCCTTGGTTCACGAATTAACATATATGCTGATAAAGTAGAATATCATATCACCAAAACTGATTTATCTAATACTAATCTTGATTGATATAAATCTGATGACTTCGCATTAATCATCTATTACTACGGACCTACATAATATATAACTTGTACAGTTTATATATATACTATTGTTTTCATGTATGCGCTGACGAGTTGAATCATACGACACCTGAGATAAAACATTCATTCAAATGTTATCTTGCCCAGGCACTCCATAAAATTGTATTGATCACCAATAGATTTTGGCATAAAATAACAATTCGTCTACTCTGTTAGTTATCATGTTGTATATCAGTTCTAAGAAAAGAAAATTTTATTAGTGAAACTGAGTGACCACCTGTAAATCAAGGTCAAAATTAGACAGCCAAACCCAAGACTGGTTTTCGCAGGTTTTTGTCCGATCACATCCAATCAACTTGGATGTCACAGGCTATGGTGTTTCTTTTAACAGGATCGGTGGGCAAGTTTCTTCCTAGACTTGGATCAAGTCCGTCTCTCTAGAGTCCAAGCGACTTGATCCAAGTCTAGTTTCTGCCATGCATGCACGGATTTTTTAAGGTGTGCTTGGTGTGCAGGTTTTATTTTGTGATGTAATTTTTCTGCCACCTGGCTGTTTGTAAAAGAAAGCTTTAGCTTGTAAAGATTTTTTCTGTAACCACTCTAAATTCCGTGTCCGGATGTAAAGGAACCAGCTGGACTCTTTCTTTTAATGGATCTTCGGTTTCTTGCCAGATAACTACTGCTTCTGGGTGGGTGGTTATCTGAACTTTGGAACCCTGGAACTAAACGAGGTAAAAGTGAAACCGGTGACTTTGCTTTAATTTGCTTGCATCTTGTCTTTGTCGTTTTTTTAGATCCTTTTACCAGTGCTATTTCACCACGTTCTGGAATTGAATATCTTGACAATACTGTCGTATTTTCTTACACAGTTCATCTTCTTGTTGAGCTTCTCGGATTCATCTCAGCCTCTGTTCTAAGGCTGGCGAGTTTTAAAAAACGTAATCTATGAATGAATTCATGTCTGCATCGAATCTGAAATACTCCGAAGCCTTCCAAGTCGTCGACCGATCGCTCTTCCATCCCCCCCCCCCCCAAGTCTTTCTGCTTCGTCAGTGCGTTGATTATGGAAAATTATCTGTGGATACCGATTGGAACAGACAAGAAAAATTTTCTTTGTGTTAAAGTCATTAGTTCCAACCCAGAGCTCACAAGACAAAGAAAAATTTTCTTGTCCGTTCCAATCCACGGATAATTTTCCTGAGTGGAAATTAGCCTTTAGGTCTACCTGGAAGGCGAAACACCACGACCGGAAATTGCACAGAAAAATGGACATGTCGCTGGGTGTATTGCATGACATTGTGGGCTCAGTCAAGAACTTTCCCGTGCATTTTGTTTTGCTTCATTTCGGCTTATTTGTGGCGAAATAAAATCTCGTACACAGAACCTGGGTACGAGGTTGGGTGAAATAATGCTGACCTTCTTAATTTTACTCTAGTCACATATTATTTTTCCTGGGGTTTTAATCTTCTCGTAATCTCGAAATTCTACCAAAAAATCCAAAACTTTGCCGATTATATCTCGAAATAATTTAGCAGTTTTCCTCATTAATATTCCGTACACGTCAGCATGTACACTCTACGCATGTTCAGTTAATATGAGCTAGCTCACCTTAACTCTCAATTTGTGACCGCGATTCCTGATCGAAGATTAACAAAGACCGCCTTGTTGCACCTCGCCGGTACACCGTCTGTTAGGCAGGCGCTAGGCATGGTCACAGTGAACTGAGTTTATACTGGCGACTAATAATATATGCAAAATGCAAAATGAAAGCTCATGCAGAGAAAGCCAAGCAAAAGAAAAATGCGGCAAAACATTACTTAAGACCGGGTCGAACCTTTTTCGTAAAATAAAAAAGGGAAAACTTAGCCCCAAAACTCCAGCAAGAAAAGGATCTCCTCTAGCCAGATGGGATATTTCAAAAGTTGCAAAGAGGCAATCCGTGCAAACAAGGCCTTACCTGTGTCTGTGTATTAAACTCTAGTTTAAGATTAAAAGAGTCCGCAGTCCTTGAGGTTATTCTTGATGATAACATCCGTGACTGCATCAAACACGAACTGAATATTGTTAGTGTCTGTGGCACAAGTGAAATGAGTGTAGATTTCTTTAGTATCCTTTCTTTTATTCAGGTTTTCAAATTGTAGCTGAATGTACGCTGCAGCTTCTTCGTACGTATTAGAGCCTGGAAAAGAAGATTGAAAACACGTCAAATGAGAAATTATTGCACCACTGCTTACAATAGCGGCCTGCCAATGGCCAAAAGCAGGCCACATTTAAGAAATGGTAGAAGAAAATAATATTGAACTCCCTCAAAAGTAAAGTTTGCTCGCGCGGGCAAAGAGAACGTTAATGGGAAACGGCCTTTAGTAACGAAAGTTGGGTTTTACTGCAGGCTCAGAGATCCCCTGCACGAAATTAACAGCGCCACAGAGCTGCTAATTTAACGGCGCCAAAGAGCTGCTAATACAGGCTGCCGCCACATCAGCCACGGAACCGTTTTGGAATTCTACATCATTAGTCTAAAATCATTTAATATTGATGATACTGACTCGTGGATTTTTAGTAACAGGTTAATAATTAACACTTTTTATTGACTGGGACCGAGGAAAACAGTATATGTTTTTATCACATACCAAGTGTCACAGTTCATGTATTCTTGCATCTCATTGGACTAGTCACTAGAGCGTCCTGGCAACCGCTCGGAGTGGTGGGCAATACTTTTATTCACAGGTGAATAAAAAAATATGGACATTTCTAGTTTTTTATTCGTTGTTTGTTTTCTTTCACAATTGGTATATAATAAAATACTTATCGGCTTAGCCTCGGGAATCATTGGCAATCTCGAGTCCACAAAACCTATTGTTTCCTTCGGTTGTAGTGTGTAATACATATCGAGCATGATTGATGGATATTTGATTGATAACTTTACACCTGCTTGTAGATCAACATGGCCACGCTGAGTCGGCTGACTCCATATCAACAAGAAAATAAAATAAAAATAAAATAAAATAAAACAAGGCATATCTACCTGTATATTCTTGGAAACAGATAGATAAAGGTGACTTTGTGATCTTCTCGGCAAACAAATCTTTCTTGTTCAGGAAAAGAATAATTGAGGTTTCTGTGAACCATTTGTTGTTACAAATTGAATCGAAAAGTTTCATACTTTCCATCATTCGATTCTACAACAAAACATAAACAGAATTCAACACCCATTTCTTCCGAAATATAATTCAACCGCATTCTATATTCACATCTCATATTTAGAAATTATACATCTGTTTTACAAAAATTAAGATGTTTTAACATCTTAAGTAATAAAAGAGTCGTTTATTGAAAATGGAGAAAAAAATTTCAGGTTTTCAAAATAAAAAATTCACTAATGAGGAGTTAAGATCTACAAAGACTAGGGGGTTGCCAATTGAACTTGGAGGATGTGGGGATGAACAATTTCTTAAAAAGTCCATAAGCAGGTACAAGAACGGTGTACGTGATTTGGGTAGGGAGTGCTATACAAGGAATATAACTCGCACACGTGTCCCTGAAAAAAATCGCTGCATGTTTATAGCATTTGAAAGATATTCATGTACAACGCCCCAGCCCTCTCACAACCCACTTCAAACTCAAAATTGAAACGGTTGGGCCATTAAGTTTTTCAGTCAGATAAACGGAAAGAACGCAAAACTGACGCTATATTAAATAAACACAGCAATAACAGCTGCCAGCAACCTGACAGATTATTTCAGACTATGACTCATCACTGTGCGTATAGCTGTGATGTCTGGCTTTTTTGATGTATCCACCCTTGGTAACATACCCAGAACAAAATTTCCAGCAAAAATATTCTTGGAGAAATTCAAGAACATATTCTGTTTGCACAAAGTGATTTTTGTTGCAGGAAACAATGTAGTCTGGTTTGCCCACTTTCGGGAAGCATTGCTTACAATCAATGTTTCCCATGCAGCTTTACCATGGATTAATCAAGAAACCATACAAGAAACGAACAAAATCTAATATTTTTAAATTTTGACGTTGTCATGAATATTTCGCCAAACTACACTCTTGTTTAATTGGTCTTTCAACGACGGTACTATATTTCGTTTACATTCTGCGATTTTCTACTTGATAATTGCACGCATATACATATCTTATCATGATCTGATTTCCGCTCCGCCCATCAGATATATTGAGGCACCGTACTCAAAGCAGACTTTTATGCACATATAAATTAAGCATTTAATGGATGGCTAATAACCTTTAAGTACAACACAGTGCAGCTCATATAATCCATTAGCACATACTATATATTGGACGTCTGAACGCCAAAATGATAGACATGCACCATTGAGAGTTGCCTCTGCCGACTCTTCCGCGAAAATGAGGTGCAACAGAAGAGAACAGGGTCGTCATGAGCCTTTACAGTCTTTTCATATCACGAAACATTCGTTGCACAAACACTTTAAGTAATAACAGTTGTAATTTTTCACATTCGTGAAAATAAGGGTCTCCGGCAACCAAAATACTGTATGAATTTGTGATTTGTCGATTATAACAGTCAAACACAATAAAACGTTTTTAAAGATTTTAAAGGAAGAATTTATTCTGTCGATATATTATTCATTCTTATATTAATTCCATATTTCATACCAAGTCTTGAGTAAATGATAAACGCCCGCGGGGTAAACACTTGGACCAAGGGTTTGTCCCCTCCCCCCCGATATTTCTGCGATTGTATACAACACATGGCATTCTAAGTGCCATTGTACATTCACAAGATTGGAAGTTTCAATATCACAAAAACGCAACATGGCAGTAGCAATTTATACAATGTAGTAACGTTTTCATAACATGGCTCTGAAAATGACACTCGCACACATCAGCTCTCTCAACAGTGCTACATTGTACGTGCGGATCCCTAGCGTATCTACTGTACATACTGTAACCGCTTTCTCCTATCCAGAAACGAGGAAAGACCCTTTGTTAGGGGAAGTTATAAGAGTTCCTTCACTCGAAATGTCGAAGTGTTTTACTCCTTTTCAGGCAGTTCTAACCAAATCACGAGATGCAGCTTAAAATATTAATTAAACCATACTCTTCAGGCTATATATTGGCCCATATAAATTTAACTTTCGGCTCCAACAAACAGTCTAGTATCAAATATTAACTATAATTCAAAAGTATTTAAAACACGATATAGCGAGAAAGAAGATTTATTGCATCAAAATAACTTCTGGCGGAAAACTGTCCCTGACATAGGCCTGACTTTGTAACGAACCTCACTCCAACCCCTCACAAGCAGACACTTCGCCAAATTTGGTTCTTAAGATTTTGCTGCCCGTTTATTTAACGCTGTAAATTTCGCATCAATACTTTTGGCTCAAATTTAATGCTAAATGCCAAAAAGCTTTACTAATAACACTTCTGTCCTATTGGCATGAGTGCCTATAGAATTAGTGTATACCTTTTCAAGTAATGAAGCAAAATAATCCGAACATTAATATCATTTAGAATAATTACATAGGTGATTATTGAAAATTCTCCACGCTGATTGGTTGCTGTTGAGGTGATTATAACGCGATAATCACCTAAGGGATTTTCAAAATGGCGGCCGAAGGCGAAGCCGTTTTGTCAATGGATGATTCGATGCTATAGACTAAATTTTTATCTAGGCAAGAAGAACAAAATCCATCACCACAGCTAGAAAGAGCATGTTAAAATTAGTAAAATTGCAAAGTTTGGTTGCGAAATGTTGTAAAATGAGGAAAATAGAGCCCTACGAAATTTGCAAATTTTGTATTAATTTGTATTACGCACGGGAAAATGAACCACTTTCGGTCCAAATGTGCATGGTGCATTTTCCCGCGCGTAATACTTCACAAATATAAAACATTTTCCGTGTTGATATACAGTTATATCAACACGAGTGGAAATTGGGAAAACGAGAAATCAGTGTGTGGAAACACAACGCCCGAATATAATATAGCACAAAGAAATATAAAGAATGAAATTATCGGACGTTTCCGTGTTGACATTGAGTTATACCAATCAGCGTTCCGAATTTACAAATGCTATATTATAAAAATTAAAGTGCCACTGCGATGGAAAATTGTGCTGTCTTTTTATTGTATATTCAGAAAGTATGTTAGTAGATAAACAAAATTACCAAATATCAGCGTCCAATTCCATTTCCTTCTGCCTTTTTTTTCAACGCAAACATGCAAATTTTTCCAGTAGGGTCGCAGTGCTCGTAAAGTCGATTGTGATTGGTTGTTCGTAATTGGCGGTTGCGGTGGTTGCAGCCAATCATCAAGTGAAGAATGCTACTGCAGGGAAACCCCTTTGAAAAATTTTAAGTTCTGGAATATTAAAAGTGTGAAATCTCAACACTATGAATATGAGGTTTTTATGGATATTTTATGAGCACTGCGACCCTTCTGACTCATTTTACAGTCTTGACCACCAGTGAGTATATAAAATATTACAATTACTGTACTTCTACTTGCAGTCGAAAATATTTTCGTATTAAAAAATGGCGTACAGTAGTTCACGACAGCATGCGAAAATCTACTGCCGAGTATTACCCCTTCTTTCTAGCTGAAGGAAGGTTATATTTTACCACAACAATAAGTACTATTTACAACATGAGCGGCCGGTGTTGTATCGGATGTTTCGAGCCGAAGGAGAGTTAAATTAATATGAAAGTTTTTGAGGAGCTTTAGTTTAATATAATTAAATATACAACATATATTGGAATAATAGAACCAGGGAATTGTTGACAATATAAATTTGATTGTCAACTTAAGTTGACAATCTTATGTCTAAAATTACGAGTATATTTAACGGACTTATATCTTTAAAATGTTTATAAAGAGTGTACAAGTTGTTAATTGTTTTGATAAACTTTCGATTGGATTTCGATAATTTTGTCGACTTGGATATTATAAATATGGTTTCTTCTACAATTTCCAAGGAATTTCTCATGATATTGCATAGGCACGTTTAATATCAATATTAATTAAAGAATCATTGGCCCAACATGCTACAAAAATATGGATATATAAGGCCTTGGCTAGTTTTTAATAGCGTTTAATAGGAACAAGAGGTGTCAGAAAATGAACATGAAATATGGGCCATTCCATTTAATGTCCACCCCCCCCCCCAAAGGATGAACTTTTCTGAAGGGTGACTCAAAAAGTCGTTTCTGAGGGGTTAAGCCTGTCGGCATCCTTTGATCTCTGCGACTTTTCTGAGGGGCAAGGGGAAAATTTACAAATTTCTGAGGGGTGCTTTGTGTCGGCAATTTGATCTTTTTTTCCTGAGGGGTTAAAGATGCGGTACAGTTCCGATGTAAACAAAGGCTTTGTTTACATTTCAGTATCCAAAATATTGGATTTTATTTGACAACTATTTATATTTTCATGATTCTAGAGTATAATAAATTATCATGAGACAACAATCAAGCTTTGCAAGAACATAAAATGAAATAAAAACCTAAATAAACTGTTTGTAAATAAAAAGGGGGTTCCTTTGTGCACATGCGCAGATCGGACTGTACTGCATCTTTAAAATTTTACTGAGTTCATCCATAGGGGGGGGGGGGTGGATTTTAAATGGAATGACCCAATGCCTGTGTCTACATTATATAAGAAATGGTGATTGCAGTTGAATAGTGCATGTTAATTTCACAGTTTTTTTACTCTCACTATGTTTCACTACTACCTGCATGATTTAATTTAACCTCGAATTTAACTATGTATTTTTTCAATGTATTCATGATATGTTTATTGAATGGATTGATATCGTAATGAGAAAGAATTCCTGGCTCTGATTTTACACATATGTCACATATTGAAGAATGTGAGAGAGAAATTATGTACCTTAAATTAATATTGAATTAATATTTTGTGTTAATTATAATTTATATTATATGTTTCCAAATTTAACCTATTAACTGGAAGATTAAAAGATATTAACCCATTGAGCCACAATCATAGAAATAATAGTCTAATATTTCTACGGCCACAATGCACCCTACTTACACAAAAATATGACAATGTCTCTAGTTATAAGTTCTTTGTATATTTGCATGGCAATAAAGTATAATTGTTTTTGTTTGTGGAAACACCACGTAAATTTATTACTGCAAATTTATTAATGTCTCTAGTTACCATTGAGATGAAGTCCCCCCCCCCCCCTTAATTTTTTTACTGGTCTAATGCCAGATGATTTTACTCAGCTATGTAGCTTAATTAATGGGTTAAAGCATATTTGCATGAGATCAATATATATTCTAGTTGTAATAATTCTAGTGGATTAGCAAGCAACACCCTAGAGTCAAATTCAGCCCTGTTGACCAGGATAAAATTTCAGCCCTGCTTTACTACTATAAAATCCCAATAAAATGTGTGATTACATGACAAATTTTCAACCCAAATGAAAATTCAAGTGAAATTTCATCCCGGTTGAACTCACTAGCCCCAGATACTCACATGCATAATTAACCTTGGGGCTGAAATCGTCCATGTATTATAAAAATTTTCCAGCCCATTCAACAGTGCTTGATTGATATTGATTCAACCCAGGGGTTGATAATGCTTTCTATAATCAGTCCTTAGTTGCTTATATAGATACAGTTATGTAACACTGGTGTTTGTTTTTTTCTATTGTAATAGTTGTAAGTTGTTAAAAACATTTGTTATTCATATGAACAAAAATTGCTATTAAATTTATATTTTGAATGTTTGGATTGACTCTCCTTTCTTCCAGCAGTATTTATAAGCAATTTAGGGTGATTGTGGATATAAGAAAGGGTGTGGTAAGAAAAGGTCAAATCGAAAATATTGTTTAAGTGGTTGGCCATAGTTTTGGTCCTTAAATTACTGGTATAAATGTAATATCAAATCTGCTGTGATATTGTTACCACATTAATCTACTATGGTGCTACCTAGTTATAAAAAATCTCTTTTTCTTTATAAAAAAATCCCTAGTTATAGTTAAAAATCTCTTGAAAAAGAGTCGTGAAAGATACTTTTCCAACCTCGGCCAGAGTTGGTATCTAAACCCGAAACGCTTTTGGAATCTGTTTAAAGTAAAATCCCAAACCAGTACTATCCCACAATCTGTATCGTGGACAGATTGGGGTAGTACCCGATGAGTGGAAGCTTGCAAATGTCGTTCCAGTATTTAAAAAAGGAGAAAAGGATCGCGTAGAAAACTACAGACCTGTTTCTCTTTTATGTATAGTATCGAAATTGTTGGAACGATGCATATTAAACCACCTTAGATTCTATCTAGAGAACATAATAAATCGCTGTCAGCATGGTTTTACTCCCGGGAAATCCTGCACTACTCAACTCATCCAAGTCATAGATACAATTGGTAAACTTCTTGATCAAGGAGAGCAGATAGATGTCGTTTATCTTGATATGTCCAAGGCATTCGATAAAGTGAATCACACGAAGATGATCGATAAACTCCGCAGTTTTGGATTCAACGGTGGCTTGCTTTCTTGGTTCCAGTCCTATCTTCGCCATCGTCGACAAAAAGTGACAGTGCTAGGATCAACATCTACGTCGACGCCCGTGACATCCGGAGTACCATAAGGATCTATCTTGGATCCAATCCTGTTTCTGCTTTACGTCAATGATCCGATGCGATATCCTTGTCTACAATTGCAACTTTTGCAGACGATACCAAATTGTTCCAATGCATATCGTGTGAAGCAGACAGCTCTCTCTTACAAGAAGATCTGGCCAATATAAACAACTGGTCATCGTCTTCTGATCTTATGTTTAATCAGTCTAAATTATGTAAAGTTCAGACAATATCGCGTAAACGAAAGCCCATTATGGCCTCATATTCCACGGGAAATACGCAGCTCGACCACTGTTTCCAAGAACGTGACCTTGGAGTATGGATCTCGTCTGATCTATCGTGGAAGAAGCAGGTAGAATCGCAGAGTACAAAAGCAAACCAGATCTTGGGGTACGTGAAAAGAACAACAAAAAATTTAAAATCTCTCACAACAAGACGAACGATTTATTTAACAATTGTACGTCCTCATCTTGGTTACGCGACGCACGTCTGGGCGCCTCAAACTGTAGAGCAAATAAGAAAGATTAAACGGGTTCAGCGACGTGCAACTAAATATATTCTGCATCTGCCATTTAACTCCGACGTCTCATACAAAGACAGACTAATTCAATGTAACTTAATTCCATTAACTTACTGGCATGAGTACTTAGACATGATCTTTTTCTTCAAACTAATAAACAATCTTATCCATGTGAACAACACCTTCTTACCGAAATCAAAGAAATCTGAGAGATCAACAAGATTGTCGCGTAATGCGGTTGGTACTACCTTCAAAGAGCAACGATACAGAACATCAACGTACAACAGATCCTACTTAATACGATCAACACGGACATGGAACGCTCTACCGAAAGAAATAACCCAAAACCGCAACAAATCTCTAGCTACCTTCAAGAATATTCTGAAAGAATACTACTACTCTGCTCTTTCATTAACTTTCGACCCTGACGACCCACGTACATGGAAGACAACCTGTGTCAAATGCAACTGTGTTCGAAGTTTGCTGATCCCCCCTTCTTGTTGTTTTTGAACCTCGCGCAACTGATTATTTATATTCTGGTAAAACCAGGGGCTTTCCATACCAGGTAATTCCATACCTTGGCTGTGGACAGGCATCGTCCAGATTATTTTCAAACTGGAATTGTGGGTAAATTTCAGTAAATGTGTTTATTAGGGTTTTTCATATCCATGCTATTACATTGTATGGAAAGGTTTTGCTTTTACCAATGGTAAAATATATTTTTAGAAGTAAGTGTCAGATTGCTTGATCTCTTGGTTGGTTGACTGAACACGTCAATTGAACAGCTCGTTAATTGATTGATTGATTTTATTATTTAGTCCTTTTCCGTTTATTGTTCAGTAAACTTAACGAATTTTTCGAATATTGTGAAGGATCCGCAGTAATTGGCTGTAGCTGTTGCGGAAATCCTGCCTTGTTTATATATATAGTAATTTGATGTTTATTCTTAATATTGTTAGTGTTACCAAGGCAAAGTTAGATAAATTAAATTAAATTAAATTAAACTAACCAATTTTCATAGCTTTACTGATACAAAATAATCTGATATATCAAAATCCTTTTAATGTCTCAAATTACAAACTCCTACATATGGCTCGAAATGGACAAGCATTTCCTCTGTAAATCCCATTATATATTATATTTATTAATCAGAAGACACTGACAAGTTCTCCTTGAGGAGCTTTTAAATAATACTTAAAAGCTATGATTAGTATAACTAGGATTACAACAATTCGCAATCTTGACTTCTTGGTTTTTCCTATGATTTTCCAATGATTTTGGCGTAACCGCAATTCGTCACTGAAATGCCGATGCCATGCATGGTCCTGTCCAGTGCATTTCAAACGCACGCTGGCTAGGATCATGGCGTCAGCATCATGACGAGGCAGCGGTTACTGGAGTCCATCTCTTGTCAGTGGCGGACACTAGGGGGGCAAAGGGGTGGCCCGAGCCCCCTCCCCCCCCCCGCCCCAATAATTTTTAAAGACTATAAAAATGCTGTACCAAATAACACAAATCACACTCATATAACGTAATTGTCATATTAAACAATAACTATTTGATAAACCTTAAGCTAAAACAGTAAGCAATATACCAAACAAATCAATATAATAATATACGTTTCTGTACTGTACTGTACTGTACTGTACTGTACTGTACTGTACTGTACTGTACATGACACAACATACGCATTTTATACATTCTTTTTGACGGTACTAGGGGGTCAACTTTCTGCAACAGGCACTTCTTTAAATGTCATTGTCGATTTTTTGTTGTTTTTGAAGCTTATACTATTGTTTAGCAGCGAAATTTTCTGCTGCACAATAATATTTGAATGCGTATTTGAAACTCATGCGTATTTGAAACTCACTTATGCTCAAAAACAACGGATAATTCAATTAAAACAGTGTTTTGAAAACCTAGTTTTTTACAAAATGTGTTCTCAGAATGCTGCAAATGCCATTTCCGGGATCCAAATTTTAAAATTTTCCCGTGCCTTCTGCACGAGCCCCCACCAATATTTCGTGAAGTGTCCTCCACTGCCTCCTGTGTGTCTTTATTCTGTGCCTTAATGGCTCTAATTGTAAATAATTCTAAGAGTCTACAAGGCCAGTGAGAGGTGAGGTCCCATTAGCCCCAGGACAAATTGTTGAGCATGCCTCCCCCCCGTCCCTCTTGATTCTCATTTTGATGGCCACACCAAAGTCTATCTTTTTTATCACAATCAACGAGGGAATCACCAGCGAATCACTTGCAAGAATTTGCTGGAGAATTTCAATGCCGATGGCAGATGTAGCGTGCATGCCAGCCTGCTCACAAGCATAGATTACAGGTCAGCCTCTGCCTGACAACGGCCTGCGAGCAGGCTACGTGCATGATGCATGTTAGTGTACCAGGGCTACGTGCATGATGCATGTTAGTGTACCAGCAGATGGATGTAATAAATTTGTTCAATACAGGTAAATACCTCATTTAATCTCATAACTGATAAAGACGCAATGTAAATGATGTTTGGCTAACTTTTTTTCCAGAAAAAAATTTTGAAAAATTGTTTATTTCACATTTTGTTTGTTTTACGATCGATCATGACGATCAGCGGATAGTGTGCAAGTATGTGCAAACATAAAGGATGATAAACTATACGAAAATGTTACAGAGATTTCCATACCCCTCTAAGCACTCCGGGCCCTGGGTATTTTGCCCTCACTGCCTCCCCCTGTTTTGCTGGCTGACGGCTGTGAAGGCCCATTTCCACTCAAGAAAATGTTCCGCGGAAAGAAAATTTTGTACAATTTGATTGGCTGACACAAATTTTCCGTCGGAAAAAATTTTTGAAGTTGAAAAATTTTCCGTCCGTGGAAATTTTTTTAAGTGGAAATGAGCCTTGAGACTCTAAGAAAGTGTGAGAGAAAATTGACAATGATTAATACTTTGCGAAGAGACTGTGATAAAGCATATTGTGACACATATGGTTGAGTGTCATCAAATTCACGAAGCTTTTGAACTGCAAATATCTGAAATAAATACAAATACAGCAAATATCTGAAATTAATGCGTTATGAAATTCATTCGGCAAACAACATACACTCATTAAATGCATATGTGTGCATTATTTGTTCATGCTTAACACAATATTATATACCATTTGTACATGTATTGATTATGCTTTCATTTCATAGATGGGCATATAGGCTCAATGACCATACAGAATGACAGTTCCGTAGATATTGTATTTTAATGCCAATCTGTGATGTGAAGAGACAGTGATTTAGCTATTGGGACACATGAGAATTGAGTTCATGAATGGATGATTCCTTATTATTGTAACTGATGGGTGCATGTAAAGCGATGGCCGATGGGGTTCCCTGTTTTGTCAGCAGGGGGTCATCGATGGGTGGCCCAGGGCAAAAAGTACAAATGTTTATTTACTATGAACTTTAATTAAAGAATTTGGGGGGAGAGGTTGTGACACCACTGTGAAGTACCTCTGTTAAATGTTTTCAAACTGATAGTTTTAATGACAAAAAAATGACATTTGAATGCTATTTTCAGTATTTTTCGGTATTTCAGGTAGCGGGGGGGAGTGGGCTATCAACTAATATGCGCCCCTATATTGTAACGCTTGATAAACGAGTGCTGTAGGCACGAGCCGAGCGCCGAAGGTGCGAGGTTTCTCTTGGGGGGTCCGGGGGCATCGAAAAATTTTTGAATTTAGGGTCTCTGAAATGCCTTTTACTGGACTTTGGGGGGAAGGTTTGACAGAAATCTGATGGTCAGGAATCGATATTATAATGTGTCGAAATTTTCAATTTGGTTAGAATGTAGCAGTAGTACACCAATTAAATTGGGCAATGCTAACTAATTCCAGCGATTAATGATTTGAATACATTTACAGCTTATACATTTACAGCTCTTTTACACAATAACACACAAATCCCACGCATATGCATTTTAATGTTTGCTTGGCTACCAAAAGGGCGTGTTTCAGCATTACCTTACTACTTACATTACTCATGAGGTTTCTTGCACAAACAACCACTGCTCCCACTGCACCCAGTGCACCTACTGCAACCATTGCAACCAATGCTCCCACTGCACCCAATGCACCTACTGCAACCATTGCAACCACTGCAACCACTGCAACCATTGCAACCACTGCAACCAATGCTCCCAGTGCACCCAATGCACCTACTGCAACCACTGCAACCATTGCAACCACTGTAACCAATGCTCCCACTGCACCCAGTGCACCTACTACAACCACTGCAACCATTGGAACCACTGCAACCAATGCTCCCAGTGCACCCAATGCACCTACTGCAACCACTGCAACCATTGCAACCACTGCGACCAATGCTCCCACTGCACCCAGTGCACCTACTACAACCACTGCAACCATTGCAACCACTGCAACCAATGCAACCAATGCAACCAATGCAACCAATGCAACCAATGCTCCCACTGCACCCAGTGCACCTACTACAACCACTGCAACCATTGCAACCACTGCAACCAATGCAACCAATGCTCCCACTGCACCCAATGCACCTACTACAACCACTGCAACCACTGCAACCATTGCAACCACTGCAACCAATGCAACCAATGCTCCCACTGCACCCAGTGCACCTACTACAACCACTGCAACCATTGCAACCACTGCAACCAATGCTCCCACTGCACCCAGTGCACCTACTACAACCACTGCAACCACTGCAACCATTGCAACCACTGCAACCAATGCAACCGATGCTCCCAGTGCACCCAGTGCACCTACTACAACCACTGCAACCATTGCAACCACTGCAACCACTGCAACCAATGCTCCCACTGCACCCAGTGCACCTACTACAACCACTGCAACCACTGCAACCAATGCAACCAATGCTTCCACTGCACCCAGTGCACCTACTACAACCACTGCAACCACTGCAACCATTGCACCCAATTCAACCAGTGCACCTACTACAACCACTGCAACCACTGCACCTACTGCAACCATTGCACCTAATGCAACCACAGGAACCGTCACGGCTATTTTGGCAGGATTGCGGTTGGAATCACTTCCGGCTTTGAGAAACGAAAATCATGTAGGGAAAACCCTTTCACCTAGCAGCCAATCACAGTGCGTCTTCCGAGCACTGCGAGATTACCCGATTATAGACATACATGTAAATAATGATATCAATATAATTTTACTCACCATATTGTTAATTTGTGTTGGTCTACATTTTTTGTTGTCATTTTGTTGTCAAGAATTATTAAAATTATTTGAAGCAACAAGGTTTTGTTTTGTTTTCGCTGCATTTCGAAGGGAAACTATAACTTTGCCTCGGCTGAAACGGCATTAAAATTATATCTTTATACTGACTGAAGCAAGTATAATGTTGGAAGTTCTGGCTTTCTATAATTGCAAACTTTTAATATTATCGCAGATGTAATTTTCTTGTCTTTCTTCGCCCGGCAATCCTGTTTTCAAAATATTTCCCCTTGCTTTTTATAGCTCCGTGTATGAAAAACACTCAACAACCCCCCCCCCCTGAAATGGACTTTCCTGTGATTGACGTAAATGTTAAAAGCCAATGAAATCTCGCGTCGTCATTCAAAAAAAATACTAGTATCAGGTAACTTGCATCCCGCATAGTCACAGCGAAAATTCAACAAAATTGATAAAAAAACTGCGCTTGTTTTTCGTTATTTTCGATGTTGTTTTCGACAAAAAATTGACTGGCAGTTTAGTGAAAGTATCGGAGCTTACTTTTATGTTGTTTAGTTTGTGTTTTATTGCGTGTTTTTAAAGTTTTTGTGCTATTTCTCCAGGGCTACGTGCGTATATAGGAATTTAGCTGCCAACCTTAGCATATATTACTATAGGAATACGTACATGATCTGACCGCGCGTAAACAATGCAGTCGGGGACTAAGTAGTAGTATGATTTTATTGATCAGAAATGAATTAATAACACTGATTGTTGGGCTACCTATGCTTGTATTAAAAGTTGAAACAAAATCACGTCAGCAAAAATTTCATCTCGCCACACAAGGTTTGAAGCGCAGTAACTTATTTTTCCTTCGGTCAATTTTTCTGAAATTTTGTTTTTCAAAAGTACTAGCTAAGTCATTTAGTTCAATATACTCAATTTTTGAAAAATTCTGTAAAGCATGCAGTTTTTGTGGAACACATTTTGTGTGATATCTCAAAAGTTCAATTTATAACTCCATCTAATTTTTTTATATAATCTCCCACTAGATACTCCCTTTATCCCTACCAAATTTTAGAAACTTTGACCGAAGGAAATTTTAATAAATTCATTTTTAGTGTAAAATTTAATGTCTGACTGCTGTCGCTTCGGCCACATTGTTACCATAGCAACACATAATTTGATTCTTTCGAACTAATGTATTTCAAGTATAAAGATTGCACAAGCGTTTATACTTTCAAAAAATTCTCCATTTTGCGTAAATAGCAAATTATTTCCCGTCTTTGTGAAGACATTATTTTTCGCTGCCATTTCTCAACAACTGTAGGGAGCCACTTAAAGTAATTAAAACAACTTTTAATTATTGTTTACAGCGTTTCGGAGTGTAATAAAGATATTAATCTGCATGAAGTCTTCAGGCAATCTTTATTACGTGAAGATCCAGTATTAAGACTCCGAAACGTTGTAAAAAATAAAGTTGTTTTATTTTTAAGGTGGCTCGATACAGTTTTAAAAAACTCAGGTGTTCAACACTTTGACATGTTCGAACTACGCAATTTTAGGATTTACTCAGCATGCAGATATTGGGGTTTTTACACATTTTGATATCTCTACTTTCAAATTATATTAGTTTTAGTAACAGATAGTTCGTTGCTATGACGACATACGTGTACGAAATTCACTCCAAAGTGGCCTATCGTCTTGTATAGTTGGAAAATAAGCATGGTGACCCCTAATTTTTTTCGTGCATTATTTTACTTGGACGAATAGCTAACAATTAGCAAAATATAAAAAATTCTGTAATGCCATTTTTTGGAAAACGCGAAAATGTCGTATTCTTTGGTAAAATGTTTTTGGCATTACAGAATTTTTTCAATTTTTGTATAATGAAAGTTTTTAGTGGTGCAATACAGCATACAAAATTTGAACATAGGTCACCAGACAAAATAAAGAGATATAGCGCATTGTTTTTCTAAAATGGAAAATTCTACTGACGTCAGCAACTGGACATAAAACGCTACAATAACACGCATAATGGCGTGAGATGGCGCGAGCAACTGTTCACGTCAGAGATTATTCTAAGGAAATTTTATCACTGCATAAAAGCGAGAAATATAGGGGCCTCTATTTCAAATTTTTTTCCGGAAAATTTTTTTTTCGGACAACAACCTCCCCCCGCCCCTCCCCCTCTCCCCCTCCCCCGTCGACAACTTTTTAGGTAAAAAATTTTTCCGGACGAGTACGTTACAATTGCTTTCCATTTTGAGTTAAGTACTTTCACCCTGCATATTCCCATGCAGTAAAAACTGAAAAGCCATTGAATGTGGATTATTTGCAAAGTGGCCATTTTGTCACCAGTTTCTGGTACTGCATGAACAATATCGCATTTTATCACTGCACAAATCACATTTATCACTGCACAAATTGGTTATCACTGCACCTTAGAATAATCCCTGGTTCACGTCAGATCATTTTGGAAGTTCTTTCATTTTGTTAATCAGTTTCCGCCACCTGCGCGTAAAAATGGTCAGCCAGTTTTGTTTGCAATTCTTGCAACTATATATATGTACTGCTCGTGATCGTATATATAATTGTGCCCAAGTTTGCTCTATTCCTTGCATCGCTTTGAATCAGCTGAAAGGTGACTTCTTTAAATATATTATATATTTACACTTCCCTTCCGAATACGAGTTTTTCTAACACAATTTCGTACAAAACACCAAAAGAAATGTTTGTCGATAGTTCCTAAGTCTCCATATATACAAGACAGGATTTATTGCAAAGTTCAAAACGTACATTGGATAAACGACTAGTTTTAAAACTGAATTAAAACTATTCGACCAGCCATGAAACAAATTAAAGATATTTAATGGAACCATAGTCAAAATTTGGATAAACGCCACAATTATAATCGTTTTCAAAAACTCCTCTTGTAAGGCCCGATTTCGCGACCGATTTTGCTCATATATGTTTTGTCCTTGCTTTTTCAAGGAAAAATATGTCAATATGTATATCAAACCAGTTACCAAAGGAATTACAATAAATATTGTGTCGTATATG